TCGGTCTTAAATCTATAATCCTATTATCTTGGGACTAGATGAGTCCTAAAGCCTCTTTCAGGGCAAAGTCTTATGATCCTGCTTTGTATTCTGGAGCAGAAACGAGGGTGCAGGCATCACCACAGCACCGCGCCCCCCCCCCCCCCGGCCCAGGCTAGCAACTCCCTACATAATCGATCCCGTGTCTCGGCGACCACCTGGGCCCCTCTCTCACTCTGGGGGTTCCTGGACAGTTTATGTGCCTCTTCTCCGTGGTCATGCTACTCTGTCCTTGGGGACCTGACTCACAGCTAAATGTCCTTCAGGTGACAGCTCTCCTCCCTCTGGGCAACGTCTCAGCCCTTAGAAGCTGGAAAGTTTTCCCCAGATTGTAATCTAGCCTGAGATTTCCTTCGCTTCAGCCCATGCCAGGTCTACACGTCCTATTTTGAGGCTTTCCTGGCCTCTGTTCCTCTGTCTTTCCTCTCCAAACCTCGAAATCCCCACCCCCATTTCAGAGTTTCATGCCTTGTTTATGGACCCTATATCTGCATTTCCTTATTGCTTCAGAAAGACAAATTGTCTCTCCCTTTCTTCTCTCTCTCCCCTTTATCTCTCATCCCTACTTGTCTCCCTCTATCTCCCTCTCCCTCTCCCTTTCTCCTTTTTCCTCTCTTCTCTCCCCTATCTTTCTTTTGTCTCTCCCCATCTCTCTTCTCCCCCTCCTCTCTCTCTCTCTCTCTGTCTCTGCCTCTGTTTTTCTCTCTCAGCAGTGGCCACACTGTTGGTACTGGACACACTCACCACATACCCTCTCCCCTCTACTGTGTTGGGGCAGCTGGGAGACAGGCTGGTCCCCCAGATTCACCCACTCTATCTCCCTGCTAGACATTTGCTTTGGGTCCCCTACACCTCACCATCAGCCCTGCACAGGCCCTAGGGCTAGAGACCACATCATTCCTCAGGACCCTACGGACCCCTCTTTGTACAATTCTTTGAGGAGGAAACCCAACCAGGCCCAAACATCATTTTCTGCAGACTCCTGAAGCCCAAGAAAAGAAAAGCAAAATGAAGGGACCCCACGGTCACCCATATGCAAATGGCAAGAGGTGGCCGCTGCATCTCTGGGAAACACAGCACAAAGGAGAAAGCAATCAGCATCAACCAGACAGAGTGTGTCTTGCAGTTGCCGCTGAACCGAGGCTCAATCTTGCCAAGGTGGCCTCTGCCCTGGCCAGGGCCAAGATCCCTCCTGAACATTTCACAATACCCTCCAGCCTGTGGTTGCCTAGAACCGTGACTAACCCTCAAGATGGGGCTGACCAGTCAAGTCCACAATGCACAGACATTCCTTCCTCTTTTGAGCCAAACCCCAGGCTCAGACACCATTTCCCTCCCTTCTTCCTCCAACTAGCATCTCGTGGATCCATATGCCCTCAGCCAGACCCCGGAGGAAACCCAAACAATGTCTCCAAGGCTGCCAGCCTTCGAGGCGACAAGAACAAAAGGAAAGTGCCAGATCTTTCTGGGGTCAACCTCAGTCAATGCTGACTCTTCCCTTATCAATGTGCTCCAAGAAAGATGCAACGTAAGACAGCTCCATACTCTGGGATCCCATAACAGAAGTGGGGGAAGGGGAAGTCATCGGTCTGGAGGTGGAAGACTGGGGCGAGATAAAGATAGAGTGGAGTGATGGGGGTATGATTAGAGGAAAAAACGTAGAAACACCAGGGCGACATCAGAAACTCCAGCAGAGACAATGGCCAACTCTGCCCAGGGTGAGGCCCTGTCCACAGGGATAGCCAGCTGCCCACTGGGCTAACCCAGGCATCCCAAAAAGCGCCATTCCCCACTGGGAGCTTCAGACACATCTGGCTTCAGCCCCACCCCCGGCTCCCCGGTTCCTACCTAGCCAAGGGCAGGCCCCACTGGAGCCATCTTCAGGGGCTTGGTCAGCTTCCACGTTCGCATGTTCCCAGCTAAGGCACAGTTATTCACAGAGAGAATTTCATTCCAAAAAGCCCCAACCACCTAGATCTAGGAGAAACTCCTTTCTGCCAAGTTCTTTGTCTATGTGCGTGTTGGGTAACGGGGAGAGAAGCAGGGGCAGTGGAGGTGGGGGGAGTGGATGAAGAAAGGAATAAGAGTGAATATAAAAAGCAGGGTTCCTGAAACCTATTCCTAATCCTCCTCCTGGGAGGATCTCAAAGCCCCACACAGAGCTCAGACCCCACAAAGACTAAGGTCTCAGACAAGCTATGTCAGAGGGGAAAATGTTCCAAGGCAGACAAAGTTGGGCCAGATCAGTCCGACAGAAGCTGGGGAGTGCCTGGGGTGGGGGGAGCCATCCGATCAAGGGCTCCGTCCTCTCACAGTATCCAAAAGCACTATCAAAATACAAGGCATGTTTATTTTCTTGACGCAGACGGATTTGGTGTGGCTAATTAAAACAGGTCCTATTGGCCAACTACATTACAGTGATTTATTAGTGGGGTAGAGATTTCCTTGTGACGTGGCCAGCACTCAAAAGGACTGCTTTCTCAACTGTCACCATAACATGACCGATAAACCCCACCACCACCACCACCCCCAGCTCTGCCAATTGTCATTATTTTTATTATTGTTGCTATTATTGTTACTGGTATTACTTCTGTGTCAACTGCTCGGAAATGTTTTGTAATCGGCCTGCTGGACAGGGTTCAATTTTTTTTTTAAAGAGAGGGCAATCAGGGTCTTGGGAGTCAGGGTGACTCAGGCAGTAACCCAGCAATTTAGGGATGGAAGCCCAGGGTCCGGTCATTCATGTCCACGGTTTAACCTACAGACCACAACCCCCAGCTATGCTGTAGACTAGGACAAAGGTCATTCATTTTTCAGGCAGAAAACCAGCAAAAAGCATCAAAGAAGGATGCTCTGTGCTCCTGGCATCGCATTCCTTAATGCCCATCTCCCCAAGTGGGCTGTAAGGACCACTGGGCTATTAAAACTAGCCTGAAGTCCTAAACTTTGGGGAAAAGGGATGGGGTGGGGCAAAGTTTCCATTCAGTTACTCAGGAGAATTCCGAGTCCTCCAGTTACCTCCTCCAACCACCCTCTTCCCATTATAGTTCTAGTTACAAACCGACACACCCAGCAACGACGCCCAGACCTCCCCACCCTGCCTGTTCTAGGAGACTGCAGCGGGGTTTTCCCCTCCTCGGAACCCCCTTCAGCCTACCCCACCACCCGCCTCAACAGCCCTTCTGACCCCCTTTCCGCAAAAGCATGGGTAAAGAAAGGAGGGCAATTATTTATCATCCTGTGGAAGACCCCCGAGGCCAGCTAGGCACAGATAAGATAACTGGGCCTGAGCAGGATCCTTCTCAAAATCAGACGCATCAGGGCGGGATTTGAACCCAAGACATTTGACGCCAGAGCCAGGCCCATTTTTCATTTTTCCTTTAAAAAATTTTTTTAAATTGCTATCTCTTGCTTTTCCCTCATCTGCATCACTGTCAGTGTTTTTTTTTTTTTTTTTCCTACTGTACCATACTGTCCCTCCCTTTCTAGAATATCCTCCACTGAATACCATACCCCACCAAATGAGCTAACTGGTCAAAATCTGGTGAGGGGGAAAACAGTGACAGCAGGCTTCACTCATTTGGGAGGAATGCAAGGAGTGAAGGCCCATGTAGTCTGACCAGGGCTAGTTTTCTAATAAGCAGCCCAATGACCCACTGGTCAGCTCGTGTCACATTAAAAAAGTTCCCTCTGCACAGACATACAAGGTCCTGGGCTAAACAGCTCAGCTTGAGGGTGAGGCTGGGGCCAGTTGGACAGGGGAGCCATAAAGGGAGAGCAACAGAGGACAGTAGACTGCCCACCCCATCCAAACCTGGAGCAGGACATGCTCGTCCAAACGTCCAGCTTCCTTCTGTGGGCAGCCCTCTGTTCTCTGTTCTAGGAAAACTAGTTTCAGAAACTCAAAAAAATGAGTAGAGGGAGACCGGGGACAGTGTTTAACAAGGCTTTTATCGAAGGCTATTCTGATCTCCAACCAGCAGCTTCTCTGCTCATACCCCTCTGTGCTTCTCCTAAGAGGCGTAGGCATCGAAATGAAAAATAAAAGGGAGAAGAAGAAGGAAAGCGAGGGGACCCAGTGGGTCATAATATGAGGAGGCAGGTCAGAAGGCTCCCTGGGCAAACAGGAAATGGAGAAACTGGAAGCTGAGATCCCTCATGGAATACAGCTGGGTCTTTGTTCACATCACGGGCACTCAAGCTGTCTTCTGACCCCCAGCACTTTCCACAACGCACTGGGCCCCCAAGATCAGAGCCTCAGAGAGATGCTATCTAACCGGCTTTGTAGGTGAACACTGATCACAGACAGTCAAAGCCACGAGGTGCCCGTGGGATATTCTCTCTCCTGTTTGAGCCAAAAGAGACTAACCCATTCGCTCCCAAGGGGAACCATGATTCCACTACATCAGCATCTGCCGTAAGGGAGGTTATGTGAAAGAAGACACGAGGTCTCTTAGCCACATAATCCAACCAAGATAAAGGCTGCAATTCCCTCTTAGTTACCAGTTTACTGATAATATCACCTGTGAGGGTCCACCTCGGGATGGAGAGAGGGACAGCCACATTAGATAACAGCAACTTAACATCAGGCCACATATACATGGAAGGTTCCCAGCAAGACTATAGCATGATACTAGAACTTGGCAAGAAGCCATATTTGGGGCATTAGCCTGGATTAACAGACAAACTCTTTCACAGTCCCAGACCCGAAGACAGTAAGGATAGACAGGATCTTCGAGACCATGGTGGAAAACAATGTGTCCTGACCCCTCTCCCCCAAGGTGGGTAATGGGCATCTACTCTTACAGCAAGAGTAGCAAGAAAAAGTAAGAAGCTTCTGAAAGCTGAAGGAATGGACTGAGGATCAAAGGTCAAGCCTTCTTCCATGTATTTAAACCTACGACAGCACGATAGCAAATCTAGCCCACACACAGGCAGGAAAGGATGAAAGAGTGATGAAGGTGTATTTCTGAAGGCCTAAAAGAATCTGGCAAACACACGGACCGCAGACAAGTCAAAACCACAGAAGGCCTGCAGGATATCTCCTCTAATGAAATCAAACGAGATAACGTGTGTAAAATGCATCGTAAACATTAAAGCACTACACAAATGCTAGTTATAATTGTTGGTGTTGCTGTTAAAGCCAAAAGAGACCAACCCAGTCCCTCCTGGGCCATGACGGCTTCACCTCACCAGCAAGCTTCTCCAGCAATGCTTGTGCGGACTGGTATCCATCATGGAGGTGGGGAGGTTCTGGATCTTCTGAGATGAATGAATCCTGCATCCCTGCAAGGAGGGGAAGGGAGAGAAGTGAGCTCGGGTTTGTGCAGTTGACCCCGGACTGACCGTTCACGATCCAAGTGAGGACCTATAACTAAGGGCAGAGCGGTGGTACTGGAACCAGAATTCTCACAGCCTTAGCTGCTCTGTGATTGGTTCCTACTACGCCATCTGAAGCAGGTCTACATTTGAGGGGGCCCATTTCTTTCTCTTGATAAGAACTGGTCAGTCGGACTGCAGAGCCTTCTGAAATGCAAAGATGCTCGTATCATGCTACACAGACCTGAGCAACAGGATTGAAAGCACCCCTGGTAAATACTTTGTAGAGAGGGAATGATCAGGGGAATCCTCAACAAAGATCAGAAAGTATATTCAGCTCTGCTAAAGGTGTCCCAATCCAGCAAATCAAAGAGTCTCCCTGATGGCTCCTGCTGTGTTTAAAAAGCCCCCCACAACATCTGGGGGCTAGTATGCACGCCATGGAGGCTTGCTTTGAAGGACAGGGAAGAAACAGGAAAGGATCCAGTGGATGTTGTTGCTGTTGCTGTTAAAGCCAAAAGAGACCAACCCAGTCCCTCCTGGGCCATGACTTGTGAACTCCTTGAGGACAGGAACCATTCGCTCTTGACCCTATACCCTTGGTGCCTAGCACTGTACCTCGCACATAGCTTGTTGAGCTAAACTGAATTGTCCCTGGTTTCCTGCAGTGAATGCCATCTTGGTCAGATTTCAAAGTTTATGCTCTGCACATATATATCCTCTCCAAATTCTAGACGAAACTTTGAATGAACCTTCTGGATGCTCCACGGGGCAAGGAGGCAAGAGACCTGATTCTAACTTTCACTTTCAGGGCATGGCAAAAACAGTGTGTGTGGAAGGGGGACAGAGAAAGATGGGTGCTACCAAGCTAAATAAAGCCTGATCTGGTTCTTTTCCTCAGTCCCCAAGCAGAAGATGCTTGCTCATGCCACAAATGAACCACCCTTATCCAATACTCCGGGAAGCAATGGAGAAAACAGAGGGCCCCAGCTGCCTGGGTAATGGTTTGGCCAGGGTTCAGGGGCAGTGGGCTACCCATCCTCTCCCATACCCTTGGGATGACTGGGCTGATGGATAAAAGGAACTAGAAACAAAATTCTGTCCAGCACAGCCAGCTCTAGAAAGAGCTAGAATCCTATGGCTGAAGCGCCTAACACAGTGCCTGGCACATAGTAGGTGCTTAACAGATAAATATTTATTGACAATATGCAGAAGAAAAAAAAAACAGCCTGTTGAGAACCCTTTACATCATGAGAGAAGTAGCAGAGGAATGACCGAGTGGAATCTTGCTCCAAATTTGGACAAAGAAGGAAAATGGGAGCCCAAGACTGGTTTTAACCAGTAAAGCGACCATTAGCCTAGCCCTGGTTTCCCCTCCAACAGAAGCCAGTGACTCAAGCCCTGACATACTCAGAGGCCACATCTCAGTGCCTCAATGAAACATAGATGGATACAGGGACACTGGTGTGCCTCCCCAGCTGCTGCTTTGCTCCACCCCGACCCTGACAGAAGGTGACATGGATGACTCCCAGAAAGGCCCACTGCCCAAGACAGATGTCTGCAAGATGCCCCCTGCTCAAGGACTGGCCAACAGGGCCACAGGAAAATTCCTCAGAGGATTTCTAGCCCAAGGAACACTCCTGACATTTGGGGGAGGGAATGTGAAGATCTAGGGGAAAAAACACTGCTTGGCAGGTTTCACTTCTAAGCCCCAAGGGCTGGCATTTTCTCCTCTGAGGTATACACTGGGCTATTGTGCTGTCTGACCCTGAGACTCTAGGTCCAGCCCCTTCTTCAGTCTGACCCCAGACAAGCTAATTTTCACGTTGACGGAGCATCAGACATAAGGCTGAAAGCTCCCTCTCAGGGCTCATGACATAATGAGTCATCTTCCAAGGGGGATAAAAAAAAAACAAAAACCCAGCATCCATCACCAGTGCGCCTCTCTCCTTTCCCACAATTACCAACAGCTGTTTGTCAATCTCTGCTCCTGAAGCCCCAGAAATGAAAGGGAGGAGCCCTGGACTCTCTCCATCCACAGGGCTCAATGTCTTCAGGAACCAGACAGTCATTATTGACACTTTGGGAGGGGAGATTTTAGAGGGAAAACTAATTTGGCTCCCAATGGGACTTTTACAGAACTGACTAACTCTCCCTAATTCTCTATGCCCTGCCTTTGTGAACCCCCGCCTTGCCTTTGTACCCTAATGCTGCTTTAGCCACCTGACGTAGAAACCCAAGCACGCATGTAATATAGTGCCTCAGGGGCTGTGAGACAAGTAGCACCAATAGGCCTATGACCATTTTACATGTAAGGAAACTGAGGCAGTTAGTACTGGAGTATCCGGACTCAAATGCTGGTCTTCAGACTGTATGTAATGCTCTTTCCACTACACCTGGTGATAAAGACACATGGGACAGGCTTGGAGCATGTGCCTTCAACTTCAAAGGGGTTCAAGGTAAGTGGGTCCCCTCTCAGAATTTTTTTTCCCCATCAGCAGGACTGAGTACCACACACAAGCTCTCATCTCCTCTGTTTCTACCAAGAATGCTTGCGGAACGCCATTTCCTGGCCCCCAAAGGTCTACTAGATGAAATCAGGCAACACGGAAGTGAGAGGCAACATGGCAGTCAAGAGACCTGGCTCTGAATCCTGTCTCAAACACTTACTAACTGCTCAACTATGGACAAGTCACTTAAGATCTCTGAGCCTCAATTTCCTCATCTATAAAAAGGGTGTCATGAGGATCAAGTGAAACAACACATGCAAAGTACTCTTAAAACTAAAGTGCCAACAATAATTGATGGAACTATTTTCTTTCACCAAAATTCTCTACAGAGGCATCTAGTGGTGCAGTGGATAGAGCACCGGCCTTGAAGTCAGGAGGACCTGAGTTCAAATCTGGCCTCAGACCAAACACTTGACACTTATAGCTGTGTGACCCTGGGCAAGTCACTTAACCCCAAATTGCCTAAAAACAAAAACAAACACAAACAAACAAACAAAAAGCTGACTCTTGCGGGCCTAGAGTCTCATACCCTGAGGACTATGCTGTCAGATATATTTAGGGGGAACCAATAAGAACCAAGGCTGGAAAGAGAACTGGAACCAGAGAAACTAGAATGCCTTAGACTTGATCTTGCAAGTAATCAGGAACTGTTATAAATGTCTGAGCAGGGTAGAGTCTTAACTTCTGCCTTTTAGATTACCTAACTCCTTCCACACTTACAGGCTGCTCTCTGGGCCTCACTTTCTCCATCTGTAAAAAGAGGGGGGCTGGACTGGATGGCCTGGAAGGTCTCTTTTTATACTAAACCTATGATCCTAAAATACATGGCGGGTATAGGAAGGGATAAGATATTATGAAGAGAGACTAGAAAAAAACTTGGTCATTGACTGTACATAGAGGTAAAGAAGCTTGAGGAGGGACGACGAGATTTCAAGCCTAGGTAACCAGAAGGCCAACGGGGCCATTAGTGGGAATAAGAAAATCTGATGTACGAGTAGGGGAGGAGAGAGATGACCAGTTCAATTTTGGCTGTGTTGAATCTGTGGTAGCAGTGGGACTCCCAAGTGGAGAGGTCCACCGGCTATCTATTTTTTTTTTTTTTAAACACCACCTTTGATTACACTGGTATAAGGAATATCTTACGAGGAAACTTCCTCTACAAATGCAGGGCAGCACTTTCTCGACCATTTATAGTCTGTTTTAGAAAGTTGCTTAGGGCACTGACTTTTCCAGGGTCATACGGTCTGGAAGGACCTGAGTCTAGGTCTTCATGACTCTCTATCCATTACATCTTGCTATATGTCTCCGGCAGATAGTTACCAAAAGATAAATGGATTTTGGAAGAATAGCCATAAAATGCCAGGGTTGGAGATAAAGATTTGAGAGTTATCTTTATGGAAGTGTTTGTGGTGAATCTAAGGGAGACAGATGGTCTGAGGGGGAGAGTGTAGTGATGGAAGAGAAGAGAGATAAAGACAGAACCTTAGGAAATAATACCTAGATTAAGAGGGTTGGGAGAAGGAAGAGATGTCACTGCAGCAGGCAGAGTGGTTGGGATCAAAGAGGTAGGAGGAGAACCAAGAGATGACAGTGCCACGTTAGCCAAAGGAGGAGAGCATTTCAGGAGGGAGGGGCTGGCAAAGCATCAGATGTCATGGAAAGCTTAAGTAGGATAAGGACTGAAAAAGGCCATTGGATTTGGTGGGTCATTGGTGACCTTTGAGAGAGCATTTTAAGTAGAGTGGTAGGGCTAAAATAGAGATTGCGAGGGATTAAGGTGTGAGTGGGTGGTGAAGTGGACCAGCCAGTGTGGACAGATCTTTCTAAAAACTTGGCACCAAAAGGAAGGGAAGAGATAGACCAATAGCAAAAGAAGGTTTCAGGGTCGAAGGAAAATTTTTTGTTTTCTTTTTTTAAGAATACAGGCAGCCTGAAAATGCAGGCCAAGGAAACAGGAAAGGAGTCACTGAACAGAAAGATTGAAGAGGTAAGAGAGGAAAGAAATAATGAATGGAGTGAAGTCCTGGAAGACTCGGAAGGGAAAGGGCAGCCTCATGAAACAGTGGAAAGAAAACAGGATTCAGAGTCAGAAGACCTGGATTTAAGTCCTGCTCTGTGACCTTGGTAAGCTAGTCAGTCTTTTTTGGAACCTTGGTTTCCTCATCTGCAGGACAGCAGTAACAATGCTCTGCCCTGTCTACCTCTCAGGGCAGGATCAAACAAAACCATGTGGGTCAAGCGCTTTTTGATCCCAAGGCACAATACCCATGTCATCAAGAATGCAGGTGGAAAGGAGGAGGGACAGTTCTTCCTCTGAGTTGGGAAGGAAAAGGCCCCCAACCCACCCTTTCCAGCCTCATCTGCCCCTCCTGCTTCTCCTGTATTCTATGTCCCAGTCAAGGAGCGGTAGCTAGCATTCAGGTTTTGAACACTTTCAGGTTTGCAATGGGCTTTACAATTAGCATTTCACTGGAGTCTTTCAATCACGCTGGGAGGTACATGCTACTATTCTCCCTGCTTTACAGATGAGGAAACTGAGGCACAGAGATGTTCGACGACTTGCCCAGGGGTCCACCTAGCCAGCAGTGTCTGAGGCAGGATTTGAAGAGGTCTATCCTCTTTTTTGGATTTGAAGAGGCACCACCCAGCTGCCAAATAGGATCAGTTCCCACCATCTACCTCTAGAAGCAATCCTTCCCTCATTAGATCTCATGGTACTTTGTGTGCCTTTTCTAAGTTGTAGAATTATCTGTGTACATGTCTTACATTACAGATAAGGTGGCCAGTGGAAAGATACAAGAAGAGCTGAGTTCAAGTCTTGCCTGACGCATACTAGCAGTATGATCCCACACAAGTCCCTGAACTTCTTGGGGTTACAGGAGGCTCTCAAAGTGCCAAAACAGGTGCTGATGTGCATTCATGGGTAGCAGGAGAGGTCCCCCTTCCATCCGATCCCCCTACATCATTTACCAACTAGACTGTAAACTTCTCAAGGTCAAAGGCAGCACGATGCCCCCTCCCCCAGGGCCTTGCGCATGGCAGGTTGTTTAATAAATATTGGTTAAATGAAAACAGGAGAGGGCACGTGAAGACTCAGAATTCTGAGGCATTGTTGTTCTTTCTGCAGAAAGAGCCTCAGGGGAAACTGAACCACCCTTGATCATCACCCTTAGTTTAACATTACCAAGAGGCTGTCCTTACACCTGGGTAGTCTCCCTCCACTGACACGGGTATCAACCCTTCGGAGATGATCTCCCCAGTTTCCTGCGGCAAACCATCACCTGGTGAGCGCTCTTCTGGTGACGTGCATCTCTGCATTAAGACAGGCTGGTCTTAGCAGACACGCAATCTGCTGATGGGCTCCTCCCCATAGACTCTGTCAGGGCATAGGCTCTGAGGACCCAGGATCTCATCCACTCCATGAGAAGTCTTGGGAGGAGGAGCAAAGGTGGGGGAAGGGATCATCGGGCGGCCACAGTACCAAAAGAGACCACCTGGGGGCCAGTCCTCAAAGCTGTGAACCAAGGTGCAGGGGGAGAGGTGGCCCCCTAGAGGCTCTTCGGGGAGAAAGGATGATAAATTTCAGGGACGATGGAAGAAATAGATGATGTAGCAAACAATGGGTAATAAATTTCAGGGACGATGGAAAAAAGAGATGATGTAGCAAACAAAGGGGGATCTCAGGAGGGGGTCCCCATGAGAAGAATCGACCCACCGATCCTTGTATTACAGATGCCCTTTTATTCTAGCTTCTTTCTCCTCACTCCCAACAACTCTCCCAATTTTCCATTATGGGAGGATGCAGAGAGAAGAATCAAGAGCTATCCAGAACCATAGCCATAACATAGGAGTCTACATGGTGTAGCAGAGAAAGAGCTCTGTTTGGAGTCAGAGGACCCAAGTCTGATTCCTGGTTCTGGTATTTACTACTACCTACGTCACCACAGAAGAGACTCAACCACCCTCGGCTTCAATTTCCTCATCTGTAAAATGAGGGGGTGACCTTCAAAGTCCCTTCTAGATCTAAGATTCAGTGATTCTTGACATACAAAAAACATCATGGAAACCGGCAAACACTCATTCACATACCATCCCTGCCAGGCACAGGAGAATGGGCTGCTGGGAACACCAGCCCCCAGGGCTGATCCTTCTGTTATGTGCTACGTCACTCACCCCAAAGGTCTTCACAACCCCACCCCAAACTGCTTCAGGACTTTCTCTGATGAGGGGATTACTACAGTCTATGCCTCCAAATACTTTCTGTCTTGGGAGGGCCCTACCCAACACAGCTAGAAGTCCCAGGCAGGGTCCCGGGTCCAAGGGCAATAAACATGTTTCTCTAAGTCTGGGTCTTTTGGGTAAGGGTGGGCACAACAAAACTTTCCCGGCTCTGTCTCCGAGAACCTTCCATCACTGCCGCAATCTCCACTACATCCTCTGCGGCAGTTTCTGCAGCTCTCCGGGCTCTCCACCTCCTCCCCCTCCCCCCACCGGCCCCCGCCCGTTCTGCGCAATTGGCTCGGCAGGACCAGAGAAGCCCACTCCACCAAGGCAGGGGCCGATGGAAGCCCCCAAAGAGGAGCAACAGTTAAGAATCCCAATTCAAGAACTCTGGGGACCCAGACACAAACAACAGAAAAGGACAAGGGAAAGAAAGAGGGCCAGACAACTTTGGGCCATCCCATCCCATCCAAAAAAAAAAAAAATCTTACTTTCTTAGTCATCATACCTTTTCCTTTGGAAAGATCTCCCCAAGCGAGCTGAGTGACAGAAGGAAGCTGAGAGGCACTGTTCTATCTCCAGGGCAGATGTTCCCAAGAAACCACTGGTGACGAAGATGGAAGACAGAGTCTGCCCTCACGTCCGTCGGGTGGTTGCTAACTGCGCAACCACTCGGGGGCTGGTCAGCAACACAGTTTGGTAGTCTCTCCCTCGGCCAGGACCCTTCTTCTGTGCTTTCTGGACCCCGAGGGGGTATGCCAGAGGATGAGAAGAGGCATTTAACAGTTACGTAAGACATGGCGTGGCATGAGCCCTCAGCCAAAGAACTGGGGTGCAGTGCGGTGCCAGGGTGGATGAGAAGGTAGAGCTTTTGTGACACACTTGGATGGTGTGGTGAGGGAGGAGACCTGGTCTCCAGGGACCCATTTCTTACCTGAATATCTACGGCAAACTCGGGCCCTCCATTTAAATGAAGGATGGAGATCCTTATAAACATTTCTTTTTCAGGTCTCCCCCCCTACCAACTCCTGCTTCCCCCAAAAGCCAACAGCTGCTGTCCTAGTTTCTCTCTCCCAATCCTCCTCCTTTTAGATGGGAAGATACAGGTCAGAAAGCTCTTTCCTCTATCAACTCTTATAAAAAGCCCACCCAAGTGGGCAAGTGCATGGGCTAACATCCATGGGTCATTCCTCACTCATATCCTTCCTCTTCCTACCCTCCCACCCACCCAAGGACTGACCTGAGGAAGGCAAGTCCTTTCAGCCCAGAGGCTGGCCCACCGCTGGCCCCTCTGGACCATGGCTATCTCTGGACGTCAATGCAAATCTCTGGTCCCCGGGGAGCAGTCTGGAGGTAGCAGGAAGCCCTGGGAGTCAGCAGCCGCAGCCCTACCTTGCCCACGCATTTCCAGGAGAGTTGGGAATTATTTTGCTGCAACACCAAGGTGCGGCCAGTGACAGCTGGAAACTCCCTCTTTTGAAATCAAATAGCCCAGGCAGCTTTCTTTCAGAGGCTGTCAACTCTTCTGACGCCCTCATGCCTAAAATCAACTCTTCTCCCCCCTCCAAAAAAAAATTTTTTTAAAAAAAAGTTTGTACAGCTGCAAGCTCTTCTTACACCTATGGAGCAAATGTCAGTCCCTCGAATGCCCGGAAGCATCCGGCCCACAGCACCCCCAGGCACTGTTGCACGCACACACACCCCTGAAGAGCTTTTAGAGATCAGAACTGCTCAGCTCCCCCCCACTCCACGCTCCAACCATCATCACCACCCTACCCCCCTTTCTTTCTCCAGTGAAATGGAAATTCAGATTTGATACCCAGTCCTCGGCCAATCCAAAAGAGCTTTTCACCTGCCATCACCCTTCTCACCAATGGGAGGAAGTGTCTGGAGCCTGAGCCCTCCCCTGGCCAATGAAGGGCCAGCCCTGCCACTTAGTTAATGATGCAGCAGTACAGGGAAGGCCATCACATGGGAACTGGAGAGATGCCAACATGGAGACACAGAGAATGCAAGGTAAACAACTTTGCAACGCCAGAAGGATGACATTTAATCTCTAAATGCTGGCTTCCCCTTCTCAGCTCATCCTTAACCCTCTCAGCCAGGCTTGGTAGGCTCGGGGAGCCTCGGTCCCCTGCCCCCCTCAGATGTACCCATGACTGCGTCACCACTCACCACTTTGTTCCCCCAACTACGCAGTGACAAACCTTCCACAGCCTCAGCCCCCACCCAGGGCACCCAGGTCCCACCCCACTTTCCAACTCCACCCAAACCCCAATGATACCCATCATGGCCAAACCTTGAGAGAGGGAGCCCCTAAGTAACTTGTTCCTTACCTTTTCTTTCCCTGACTCCCCCCCCCCCCAACATTTCTACATCGCAACTCTACTGACTTACAGACAGACAGACACCAAAACAGCCTGGGTCATCCGTCCATCCTAAAGAAAGGGACCTCTTTCTGGGCTAAAGATCTATATGGAGATAGGACACCAGGGGGGCAGGTCTGTTCTCTTCCTCATGACCCATGTCAGTTTGGACTAACACTAAGGAGAATGAAAATTAAAGTGGAAAAATTCTCTCCGGGAAAGGGAAACAGCCAAAAGCAAGAGAAAAGACGTTTTGGGAGAGAAAGCACCCCCCTCCACAGAAGAATCGCCCCCAATCCCAGAATATACGTACGTGGGGGAAGAAGGGGTACACACCACCAAGTCTGGAAGCCCGTCACAACTGCCTGTCGCCTCCTGCGCAGTCCCGGCTCTCCATCCAACCTGCCGTATGGTGTCGCAGGACAGAACGTTCCAGAATTTTGTCCCCGGTGAAGCCTGCCACCATCGCAACCTCTGCCACCCCCCCCCCCCGAGCCACCCAAGCCACCTTTGCATCTTCTCTGCCTGAGCTCCCATGGGCTGCGATGTCCCCAATACATCTCTGAAGCTTCACAAGTGGGTTGGCAGAACCTAGTACCCAATGTTGATATTACTTGTTTCTCTCTCTCTCTCCCTCTGCTGCAGCAGGGCTGTTGCTAACAGACCTATCGACGGAGCTCTCTCTCTCTCTCTCTCTCTCTCTCTCTCTCTCTCTCTTTCTCTTTCTCTCTCTCTCTCTCCCTCTCCCCCTCTCCCTCTCTCTCTCAGCTGTGTGACGCAGATCTAAATTCTCCAGTCTGCTCCCTGTGTTGCAATAGCAGAATTGCAGCTTTCCCCTGGAGAGCTGGGGGGGGGGGGGCAGTGCCAAGGCTGGTCAAACAAGACCAAAAAAAAAAAGTTGGGCCTACACTTTGCCTCCTTGGCCACACTTTTTGGGTGGTCCATCACTACCCCACCACCTTGGATGCTGAGGGGATTCCCCCTAGTGTCAGCAGGCTCACCTCTTCCCCTGAGGCCCCTCGGCAGAACCTTGCTTAACTCTGAGTGACGGTCCCCAGAGCTCAGCCAAATGTCATCTCACCTCATCTTCTGGAGTCCCTAACACACAAGTAGTCACCACCCTATGACCACCATCACATTAACTATTTCTGCTCTGGAGGGGTCAGGCGTGATGTCTGGGGCTGGCTTTTCCCTAATCCCAGGTTCCTCTCCACCCCATTCTGGATTTCTCAGGGTTAGGTTAGGCCTGGCGTGGTAAGAACTGAGAACCCAACCTGACTGTCTGGTGTCTGGGATCACCCCCTCACTCCCCACCATAGGGGCTTCTGCCAGGGACCCGGAGAGCCAGGTTGAATTGTAGCCTGAGGAATCCAAAATAAAAAAGACTCACCCCTCTGTCCTTCCAGGATCAGGTGCCAAGTTCCAGAGGTGTGGACTCCAACCATAACTGGGAGGACTTCAGGGGCCTCCATCCCCCAGGGAATTCAACTGCTGAGTCATATGCTCCTGAGAAAAGTTCTCCGGAAGGCCTGAGGGGCAGCAAAGCGGCACAACAAGCAGGTTCAAGTTAGAATTAGGCTTCTGTTAGGTTCTCCTCTCTACGAGCGAGCGGCAGCTATAAAAAATTAGCAGAAACCAAGTGCCCCTCTCCCCACTCCAGGACTTCCCTCTGACATTTTCCCCACCCCACCCCCAATAAAAAAAGAACATCACATTGATTAATATGCTTAATCAAGCACCTTAACCCCTGCTTGCCTGAATATGTCCCAAACCCGGTCCTGGATAATGCCACAATCTTGCGATAGTTTCTAGCCTTCTGGCCCCCACCTAGGTATATGAAAGGAACCCTTTCTAGATGGGCAACTAAACAGTTTGCCATTTTCCTGACCTGAAGGCCAAAATGCTAACTTGAAGTCACGAGAATCTCCTATGGACCAGTAAGTCGGCCGCAGTAATCACGGACAAGCACACTTGGCCTCTCTGCTTAACTCACTATTGCAAAATGGCTTCAGAGATACTGTGTGAAATTAGGAAAAGTGTTTGGAACAGGAGATGGAGGGGGAACCGAGAGTGGGTCTGTTCCTAAGGGAGAGTTTCCCTATACTGTAGCTATCGGAGAGTCAAAGAAACAGAAAGACCAGCTGTTGCCCCCAATGCACCCCACGTCCAATTCCAGTCAGAATCTTCTCCTGGCAACTACTCCGGCCTAAGCAATCATCCTTTGGGGGGGGGGGGGTTTGAGGAGCACGGGACTCTCACTCTAGCAGAAACAAGGACCACATGGAAATTAATCTCAGCCCCACAGGGTTCCAAGAGAAGCCCAGGTACTCTGTGCCAGGTCCTCAGTGGGGGGGGAAATGCTCCAAATTAGCACCTTCTGGGCTCCAGGGTAGAGGTGGCCAATAAAGGAGTCACCTACTGATCTGACTATCAAAGTGAGTAAGGCCTTGATGGCAGCAAAACCAGTGCCCCCTGAGTGGTCGCCTGCCCATTTAAATCCCATATGTTTTTGCTTCCTCCTCCATGGAAGAAAAACATGCCTGAGTTCACATCAGGACATTCCTGATTTATCCAAGAGCCTAGGATCAAATAAACAAAAGACTTTTAGCTCTGCCAGGGAGCCTCCTGTTTTAGGAGGGAAAACTAAAGGCTGGAAAATGAGGGTAGGGGGCATTGGAGGGAGAAAGGGTCAACTATCATACTATAGCCATCACCCCCCTCCCAACCTCAGGGATGTGGCGGCCTTATTGCCAGTGATACGTATGTCATAGGTGGGAGGAAATAACAGGAAAAGACCAAGAAAGAGAAAAGGCAAATAGCTCACAAGAGATGGGGATGGAGCAGGGCAGGATACAGCAGAGAAAACTACAGACACAGAGGCAAAAAGAGATGCAGGCAGACAGACCCAGGCACATCTCACGATGCCAGGAGCAAGCACGAACGTTTACAAATTAGCAAAAAGAAAAATTATTAGAGATGTTGAATCAGGTTCCCAGACTCTATCAAATGAGCCGTGACTTGCAAGGTGTTATAATGACAGTATGGAAGAATTTAGTTTTGGGGGTTTTTTTTTAATCTAAATATGCACAGTGAGAGTAGAGTGGCTAGTGGGCTAACCACTAGTATCAACCTCTGATAACTTTGATGCCTTCTATTTTAAACTGGAAAAAGGGCCTTTGAGATGCCTCATTTTACAGATGAGGAAACTGGGACTCTGAGAGTGTTACCATAAGCAAGTCACTAACTTCTCGGTACCCCCGGGGTTATCCTCTCAGTCTCTTCAGCCTTGAAGAAGCTGATGCTCTGCTCAGGATGCTTTCATTTCTGTCTTGCTATCCAGAGTGACTATGCTTAATAAATACTGGTTGCTTGTTTGATGGAGTGAGTTTCTACACTGGAAGTTACTTATACCAAGGAGATCACAGGTTCCAACCAAAAATAGATACAAACACATACGGTGCTTTTCCCATGCCCTTTTTGCTTTCTCCTGGCAATTTTTGGTAAGATAAAAATGCTCATGTCATGTACCGATTCCCAAATTTGGGTTTCTCTTCCATTAATCTCACTTTTTTGCTTGGAGCTGACATCAGAGGGGGGAGGAAAAAAAAAACCCAGCGACAAATGGGATGACCAGGAAACAGAAATGAATTTAGTTCCAAAAACACAGGAGGATGTTTACTTAGCAAGCACACTCAAGCCCACAAGGAAGCAGTTTTACAGGGTGCCGTGTACACTGTTTGATTTCAGGGGGGTAGCGATAACCACAGTGTGAAGGGGAAGGAACTTGGCTCCTTATATTCGTCC